GTGTTGGGCGGTGCTCCTTGGACCACACGGCAAGAAGGAGAGCAAATCCCATTCTAAGTGGGATTGCTCTTGATTTGTTTCCTTGTTCATATTTAGTGATTTGTTTCCTTGTAGGAATAGAATTCCTTTTGTGTTTTGGTCTTTATCCTCTCCTATAAATAAAGGAGAAACTCCTTGTACTTAGCAGAACAATTCAATATACAGAATATTTTCCCTCTTATTATTTTCTTCAATGTGCAATGTTCTTAGTCATATAATCACTAGTAAAGAAAGCACAAACCATATCATACACATCCAAGGATATAATATCCCAGCATTTTTGATAAAACAAACTAGTAAAACCATCTAGACCTGCTGCACTATTGGGGCTGAGATCAAAGACTGCCTGTTTAACTTCATCCATAGTAGGAGTAGCAACCAGCTGAGTATTATCAGTTTCAAAGACTAGAGGGGTGATGTGAGTGAGAGGACTATAGTCAATCTCTCCCCTTTGTTCCTCAGAAAACAATTTGTGGAAGAAATCAATAGCTTGGGTAAAAATCTGTTTATGGTCCTCAATCCAATTACCATCAGAGCCTTTGATTTTATGAATATATAGTTTCCTTCTTATGGCTTTCACTAAAGCATGGAAATATTTAGAATTTCTGTTCCCATCCACAACCCACTGTACATGGGCTTTTTGTTTCCAGAATAGTTCTTCAAGGTGGAGTTGATGACTGTATTGAGCATCCACTGCTTTTATTTGCATCAAGTGTTCATCAATAGGTGCAGCCTGATAAGTTTCCTCAGCTTCCTGAACTTTTTCTCCAAGGCTTCAAGTTTGGTGAAGATATTTCCAAAAACCTCTCTTTTGATAATAATAATAATAATAATAATAATAATAATAATAATAATAATAATAATAATAATAATAATAATAATAATAAGTGGAGTAATAATTGCTGACAAGTCAACCGAAAATCAGAAAGAAGTTAGAAAGAGGTTGACCCCACAGACCTCTCCCATGGCTTCTTCTCACTCTCCCTTCCTATATAAACGCCTATAAGCTCCATTATTCTTCACCATTCTTATTCCAAAAGAGAGAGCTGAGTGTGAGGAGTATTGTAGTGCTTCCAATTTGGTGTATAGTCGACGGAGCTAACCACAAACGTCACCGGAAGTTTCGCCGTTCTTTCACCTTAATCCTCGTTTAACTTCAAGGTAGGCCCGTAGATATATCTAATGACTAGAATGATCATATAGGTTGTTTCTACGTTCATAAATGGTTATTTGGTTGAGTTTTGTGCTTGACATGCTTGAATAACTAAGAATCACAAACCATGATTTTTATGTTTAAACTATGAACTAATGATGCCAAAATGATCTATGAACCTTGGAGAATACATTTGTGTATTTTAATTGAAGTTTGGGAACTTAAAATGATATTTTCATAAGTTGGCTCGAGGTAGAAGACGATGAATAATCGATTATAAACTTGAAAATCGACTATAGCTCGTTCTACAGATTTTTGGAATATACCTGAGCAAGAGTCGACTGTCAGAATGTGACAATCGACTGTCAGCCCTTTCTGAAGTTTGATAGTCGATTATCAGAATGTGATAATCGATTATCAGCCCATTCTAAACATCGGATAGTAGATTATCAGAAGTGACAGTAGACTGTCTCCCTACACTATTGAAGAAAATGAAGCTAGTAGTTAATAATTGAATTTCCTATCATATATTAATCAATTATTGTTTAGAAAACATAATTTTTGAACTATGAAATCCTATTTTTGATACCAATAAATTATGACTATTATAAAGATGATTCATTAGAATATAAATGATGTTTTGACAACTAAAAGGATCTTATGTGATGCATGACGGTAAGCTAAGGTGTTAACACTCGACACTAGGCGCTAATTATTATTGGATATTATGATGTTTGATTGATTATTGATTATAATGAATTTTATGGATTAACGATGATGATTATTCTGAATGAAATGATGATTAGAAAATGAATTGGATTATAGGATATCTAGAAGAACTCTAAGATATACCTAGGTTGATATTGGTTTATAAGACTATCTAAAAGACCTCTAAAATAGCTTAGAAATAGGCCTTGCGGGTATAATTATGAATATTTGGTGGCGTGGATTACAACGTACGTACAGGATCTACAAATCAAACTAGAGGAACTCCTTTGGGGATACCACCCAACCTGACAGTGAGTATTCCGTTGTTCGGTTTCTGGTTGACCTTAAGCGAAGGTAAATTTATCTTAAACTAGGCCTAGCTTAAGGATTGGATAAAAGTACCTTAGACTAGAAAATAGTTTAAGGATATTGTTGAATACGAATGTTGAATATTGAATTTGAATGTTGAATGTTGAATATGAAAATGAATGTTGAATATGCAATAATGAATGTTGAAAAGTGAATATTCAAACTGAACATTATGTGCATGATATCAAATAGTTGATTATGAATTGAGATTCAATTTATGTGGATGTTCGACCCTTTAGATATGCTTACTCAGCTTTACCGCTGAGCGTGGTCATTTTTTTGGTGTAGATTTTCGTCAATTACTGCAAATAATTTCAAAATGAACTAGATAAGATATTGTTAATTCAAAAATTAATTCTTCCCACAATTAAATACATTGCACTGTACATGTTGCATTTAACAAAAAACATGAAGTTGTAAATTTGTAATTCCTTGTTTACAGCTTTATATTTTATTATGCACTTTATTTCTCTTTTTCTATAATGACAACAATATAGTTTTATAATGCAAATATTTATGAGTCGTGCGAGCATACTTCAGCGAATCTCTAGGTACGAAGATGTAATATTAGTTGGGTACACCTAGCATTCACCCTCAAAACTCCCATTACATAGGTCCTTGTTGCACGCCACGTGACCCATTGGGGCCAAATTCCTCGTTCCCGCGAAATAAATGGACATCGCGCGCTAAACCAGTATTTGCTTCGCGGGGTTTCTTTTCGGGTTCATTTTCACTATACATAGTAACACATACCACGCTCTTCCTCACCAACCAGCCAGTAAGGCGGCAGGCGCCCTTCCATTTCAGAAATTAAACCCCACATTTCCCTGGCCATGGCTTCCTTACGGGCTTCTACGGTGCTAAGAAAAAGAACCCAGGCTTCGAATCCGTTTTTCCTGGACGCGTCGCCCATAAAACGGTCCAGATCGAGTGTCGAAGAGGAAGAAGAAGAAGAAGAAGAATGGGAGGGAGGTGATTTTGGTGACGTGTGCTGCGAGGAATGTGGCTCCGGCGGCCGTGGATCTGAGCTCTTGCTCTGCGACAAATGCGATCGAGGGTTTCACCTGTTTTGCCTCCGTCCCATTCTTGCTGCCGTCCCCAAGGGCTCTTGGTTCTGCCCTTCTTGCTCCAAATCCAGAAGTGTCGCCAGTAGGGTTATTTTAATTCGCTCTGTTTTCTTTTTTTTTTCGCTGATTGGTTTTTTTAAATGTTAATATTAATGATGTGTTTTTTGTGTTTTGAGTAGTTTTTGGTGCTGAATTTGCTCAACCAATTGATTGAATGCTCCCTTACTCCCTTCTTGTTGAATATTTTCACACTAATTCTATATTGATTGAGCTGTTGAATGTTAGATCTGGTTTCAATTCATTGCAATTATGTGATATTTATAAGTTCAATTGCTGCATTATGCTAGAGTATAATTTTTAGGTATACTCTACAGCATTGGTTTTTGCTTAGAGATTTTGTGCCTTTTGCAGGAATGCTTTTTTTAAAGCCATTTAACTTGTTAAAAGTCATCAAATTTTACTAGGGAGTAGTAGCTAGTAGCCCAGTACCACTCTACGAATTCCATGGTTCTTCATCTCGTAAGTAGTAACTTAACTAAGCATTTCTTCAAAATGCAGAATTTCCCCTCATCCAGACAAAGATTATTGATTTCTTCCGTATTCAGAGATCGTCAGGTGCAACTCATAAGAGTGCAGGTATGCAGCATAATGCTGGCTTGTGGCCCTTGTTATGCATACTTGTCTAATTACTAATCTCTTCTCTAGTGTGGTGTGTCAGCTCAAATTTTGGTGCTTTATTTTTTTTTCAGTCTGCCAAAAGAGGCGAAGGAGAATTAGTAGCTTAGCAGTGTCAAAGAAAAAGAGAAAGTTATTGCATTTTAATCCATCCGAGGATCCTAAGAGGAGACTTGAGCAAATGGCATCATTAGCCACAGCATTAATAGCCACTGGGGCTCAGTTCAGCAATGAGCTTACTTATATGCCCGGCATGGCACCAAGGAGTGTGAATCGGGCTGCACTTGAACGAGAAGGGATGCAGGTATAGACACTGGATATTAATAAGCATGCTCTTTGATGCTCTTGTGAAAAAGGAATGCATATTGACAATGTTTAGATCCTGTAAAATGCTAGGGAAAATGAGAGACCAAAGATGGGGAAAACAATGTTATTCTCATTGCTTCTAACACTGATAATACAAAAAAAAAAAGTGACAAATGTAAAGCTATATTTCGTTTGTTTTCAATAAAAATACATTAATACAATGAGTTTAAGCATATATTTCTTGCCTTCATATTTTTATTCCTCTCAAATTCATCCTCTGTTATATATCCCTAGCATTTTCCAAGTTCCAACTAGACTCTTACTGTGTTGCTTGTTCATACTGCCGTTAATCATTATCCGTGTTAATACAGTATTAGAATATGTAAGAGTGATCAGTTCATTACAAAGGTATTTCTGTCTACAAAGAGCAAATAGGGAACCAACACCTTTACTAAATGTTCCCTGTTATCAACTATCAAAATGTTTTACCTGAAAAGCTTTTATGAAGGAAATGCTAGCAGTTTTGTTAAATGACTAAAGAGTTTATATGAAATGTAATTTCAGGTAATGACCAAAGAAGACATGGAAACCTTAAACCTGTGCAAGAAAATGATGGAAGGAGGTGAATGTCCTCCTCTAATGGTGGTTTTTGACCCAAAAGAAGGGTGAGTAGAGTTAGAATCTTCAAATTGTTCCATCACCCACAATCTTTATGTAATGGCATTTTCTTCCTAGAATCTTTTAATCATTTTTCTCAGATGATTTTGACAGCTTTACTGTAGAAGCTGACAGATTCATCAGAGATCTAACCATAATAACTGAGTACGTTGGGGATGTTGATTACTTGAAGAACCGTGAAAATGATGATGGGGATAGCATGATGACTCTCTTATCAACTGCTGATCCTTCAGAATGCCTTGTGATTTGCCCTGATAAGCGCAGCAACATAGCTCGCTTCATCAATGGCATCAACAACCATACCCCGTGAGTTCTTCTTAAAACTATAATACGCAGCTCCTGTTTTCTTGTCGTAGTTGTAGATTTCAGTAGTTCTCCATACATCATTTGAGGTTGTTTGGTGTGAACTGACATTGTTGGGGAAAAAAACCACATTGTAATGCAGGGAAGGAAGGAAGAAGCAGAATGTAAAATGTGTGAGATTCAATGTAAATGGTGAAAGTCGTGTTTTGTTGATAGCAAGCAGAGACATTCGGAAGGGGGAGAGGCTATATTATGATTACAATGCATATGAAAATGAATATCCAACTGAGCACTTCGTTTGACTCACCTCATAACATAATAGAAACAATTTTGTTACTAACTTTCACTTCATGCCTAAGTTAAATTGCCAGAGGTCAAAGATCAAATATTCATGTACACTAAATATCATCAATGTAAATTTTGATTTTTGTTAGTAAATTTACCCGTGCAATGTGTCATGCAATGTATAGTTGGTAATTGTATTTCCTAGTAATGGCTCAATAATTAATGAAGTAATATTGAATCTGATCTCTCAATAAAAGAATTGGGTTTTATCAATGTACAACTTGTTAATATCTTGTTACGTTGTTTACCTAGACTTTACAGTTTATGTATAGATACTCCGATGTATGATGAATAAAGTACTCCGTTTACAACACATTTTCAGCATGATAGCACAACCTAATTTTTTTTTTGTGCCTCTTCCTCAATCAAAAGAAGAAGGGGAACAAAGACTCCCTCTATGAGAGAAAAAAATAGGGGAGCAATCAGAGGCGGACCCACCTTGAGTCCTAGTTTTATGTCTCGTTTTATGTCGTTTTACATATTTAGTCCCGACTTATTGAATTTAACAATTATAGTCCCCATTTATATTTGGCCTTAACACAAATGGACCTCCGTCAGTTCAGTCGTTATATCATCATTAAATGTAGGGTTATTTCGTCCCCTCAGCCCTCTTCTTTAATTGGGTAGACCAATCATTATATGCAGGACTACGGAAGCTTTGCTCGTGCCTTCTTTGTCCGATTACTCGATTACTCGCCGCTATTCTTTCACTTCTTTGTCCGATTTTGAGTAGCACCAGTCGTGTAGCAATTAAACTCCAAAACGTATGTCTGATTTTGAAGAGAGATTGGGGCTGTTCGCAAAAAGAGATCTAAAAATCTCAGTACTGAAATTACTCACCTTCAAGGTTGTCCATGGGAGTAGATGAAGAAGAACACAGATCTTCTTTGACCTCTTCCGATTACGCAGGGAAGCAAAAAAAAAATAGGGTTCCTCCCCCATGAGTGAAGGCAGACGAGCGCTGTTGATTGTGACTATGGTGGTGGTATGCTATCACGGTTTAATATAATTTTGATTCTGTGTTTTTGCATTTCTAACGAGGAGATTTCGGTTGGATTGAAGGAGGTTTATTTGTGGCAAGACTAAACATAAATGGGGATCAAAATTGTCTTGATAAGTGGGGACTAAATATGTAAAACCACATAAAACTAGGGACTAAATATGGAATTTACGCAATAAATAAATAAAAAGATTACTGAACGAACGGTAGAAAATTACTCGCGGGTGACGCGAGTCTTGTCGAAATATTTTTCAGGTCCCTTTATTTTCAAAAAGACAATCGATGTTCTTATATTTTGTTGTAATGACTAGGAGGGGACATTTCATTCAATACATCATCCGTAAGTGTTAATAAATGTATTTTTTTCCTATTTTTCAAATACCGTTTTTTCATATTTTGCCATTACCTTGTTTTTTCTTTTTTTGACTCCGTAATTTTTTTATTTCATTTGTTTTAATATAATACAAACAATTTTGAATTTTTATACGATTTTATAGAAGAAATTCTAAAATAACACTTTAAAAATTAGTAACAAAATGAAATAAAAAGAGTAAATTTCATAAAAGGTCCCCTTTTATAGGTCGTTTTACATATTTGGTCCCTACATATCAAATATTACTTATTTAGTCCCCAATTTTTATATTCATTTTCACGAATAGTTCTTTTTAACATTTCCGTTAAGAATGTGGATAAAATTGTAAATTTACATTTATTTCTCTCCTAAATTAAGCTTCTTTCTTCCCATCGCATTCCTTTCCAAAATCTGTCGCTGAGTTTGAAGCATTGAACCCAAATTCAAAATTATCACTCTTCTCTCAATTGTTTGTCGAACTGATGGAACCCAAATTTGAAACCAGTTTCCTTCATTCATGAGTTTTAATGTTTATTTTCTTTGCAATTTCTTGAGACTAACCGATAAAACTCATCCATAAAGCTTATTGGTTTTGATTTTAGAGAGGTCTGATCATTTCAGTTTTGGATTTGGAGCTTCAAACTCAGCGACAAATTTGAGAAAGAGTACGAAAGAAAGGAGGAAACTTAATTGAGGAGAAAAAGTAGTGTGAATTGATAATTTTATCTATGTTTTTAATGGAAATATTAACAAAAGACCTTTCGTGAAAATGAATATAATAATTAGGGACTAAATAAGTAATATTTGATATGTAGGGACTAAATATGTAAAACGACCTATAACTGGGGACCTTTTATGTAATTTACTCAAATAAAAACAAAGAAATAAAAAAGGAGCGACCTAAGATTTATTACCTTAAAACATTTAGTACAGAATAGGAAAACAATACATTTATTAACGTTTATATATGAAATATTGGATGAAATGTCCCTTTCCAGTTATTACAACAAAATGTAAGGATCTCTAATGTCTTCTTGAAATAGAGGGACCTGAGAGTTATTTTAACAAAACTCGCGTCACCCGTCAATAGTTTTTTGAACGAACGGAGCCTAGGGTCTCCAAGTTAGATCCAGAGTATTAATTTTAAAATCTACGTGAATTATTTGATAATTTTCTTTTTCTATGTTTTGGCTTCAAAATCAGATGTTTGACACCACCTGGAATATACTTTTAAATGGCTTCAAATTTGGATATATACATACACACACAGATTTTATATATATATATATATATATATATATATATATATATATATATATATATATATATATATATATATATATATACACATACACATATACACACACACACACAGAGTATATAAAAGTGGTTCCCCCTGTAGAGATGGTCACATGTTTGATTGGCGAACCACACCACCCGGGTTCAAACCTCAGAAGGGGCAACTTTAGGGGAATTTTAAGAGAGTTAAGCGTGCTGGCCAGGAGTTGCAGAAATGATGGATGACCCCTTGGAAGTGTTTGCAGATTTATGAGGTTGGGCTTTAGATTGAGTTATTTATAGTGGGCTATCTGCCTCGGGTGTTCAATGGGCCCTGGGGCGGTCACGAGGTTAACAGGCCCCCCTGCTTGTAATCGATCGTTTCAACAATATTAATAAATAAAAAAAAATTAAAATTTGTTTTTACATGATAATTTTGGATGTAAAATACATGTGATTATTTTTACATGATAATTTTTTAAAATTTTATGTAAAAAATGTAACCATATTTCTTTTCTTACTTTTCTTGAAAAGAGATTCACTTGACAATTCAAGAAAAACTCAATTGTTAAATAAATGTGATTGTTTTTATATTTTCAAATATAAATTTTGTGAAATATATCAAATGCAACTATATTTTTTTTTCTTTGGAAAATAAAATTATTTGATTTTTAGGAATTGTTTTTTATCGATATATTTTTTATGAAATTATTAGAAATTTTACGTATTGAAATATGAACATTTTTTAAAGTTTTTTACTATTATATTTTAAGAAATATCATGGGTTAAACAATTTATTCAAAAAAATTAACTAGAGGATTAACAAATGGAGTTGCTATTTCTTAAGATAAACCTTATGAAACCCACGAAAAAATCTACCCCGTATTAATTTTGTCACTATGAATTCTTTCTTCATCTTGAGTTTTTTTGTTAGACACGAAAAACGTTTTGTTTGTCACAAATATGAACTTGAAATTTTAAGAAAAAGAGTATTATTTGATTATAAATAAGTTAGAAAAATGAATTTTAAATTTCATTGATTATATTAGAAGCTGGTTTTGAAATTTTTAAACTATTATTTTAATTATTTTAGAAGCCAATTTTATAAAATTTTTAATAAAAAATATGAACTTTAGTTCTCACTCAATTAGAAAAAATTGAGTGACAACCTTTGCAGTGCTGTTTCACGAGAAAAAAATTTCATACTTTAACAAAGTCAAAGTCAAACATTATCATTTGTTGGATTATTTTTAATCAATTCGGTGTTCACTTATGACAACCTTTGCAGTGCTGTTTCACGAGTAAAATGAAAGGCAGAATTAAGGATATTAATTCTAAATGATAACAAAAATCATTGCAACTACACTAAAATTGTTGTATACCCAAAAGTCTTTCAAAAATATAGATTTAGAAAATATTTGAGATGTTTACTTTTGAATTTGTATATAACTAATATAAGAATATTCATTACCAAATATTTAATACTAAATTATTTTTTTTGTTTTGTTTCCAATGTCTATAGTAACAAAAACATATTAGATATATTTTCATAAATTCAATATAAAATATTGCATTGAAGTTAATTTATAGAAGTGACAAAAAATTCATGCAAACCCGTGCATGGCACGAGTTAAAATACTAGTAGATTGAAAAACGACAGGTTGAGAATGTTTGAGATTAGAGAGATAGAGAGTTGAGACTTGAGAATTGAGAGAGGAGAGTATGATTTTTTTTTAAAAATGAATATATTTATAACACCCCAATCCTCCCCAAACCCTCCCCTTCCCCTCAACGGCTAAGTAGCCGTTTGAGGGGGTCCCTCCCCCCTTAAATGTTTTTTTTTTTTTTTTTTTTTTGCCTGTGGTGGCTGGCCGCTGGCGCCGAAGACTTCCCTCCCCCCTTTAATGTTTCTTTTTTTTTTTGCAGGTGGTCGGCCGGCGTTGCAGGGAAAAAAAAATCACGGTACCGGTACTGGCGGTTCCGGGACCGAAATTTGGGCACCGGAACCAGTACCGAGAGGGACGGTGCCGGTACCAGTTCCCGGCACCGGTGTTACGTACCGCACGACGTTGACGGTAGCTGGTACCGACGGTACCGTTGCCGGTAACGGTACCATACCGGTACCGTGTCCAGCCCTAGGTACAAATAATTTTATCCACAAGACTAAGCACTACTACTGCACTAGCAATAACCTGTACAACCAAACAGTTACCTAGTATTGTTAGACCTACCAACAGGACTCTTAAGAGGAGTCAATCTGTTGAGAAAGGTGTATAAATGACAGACCGGCATGGGCAAGTAGGTGAAATCACATGAGTGTTCATATTAGTTGCCTGTACAAAGAACACGCATGTTATGTTGGGATCTTTTTTTCCTCTAAAAGTCCATGAGTGTTCATATTAGTTGCCTGTACAAAGAACAAGCATGTTATGTTGGGATCTTTTTTTTTCTTCTAAAGTCCTACAATATGTCTCGTTTTCTCTAGTCTATTTTTCTCTTCATTTTTTCAGTTTTTCATGTCAAAATCCCATCATTTCCCACTTGAAACTGAGGGAAGTAAGATGTGATTGGGCAAAAAGAGAAAATGGAAGATACAGAGTTTAAAACAAAGCCTCGGCACAGAACAGGGATATAAAAGTATGGAGTATTTCACGAATCACAAAGTAGTTTTAAAAATCTAATGCCTAACGAAAATGTGATACATTTAGTGCAATTTTATTCATTCTTCAAAGTAATCAGTCACTTTAATAATGCAAACTCGACAAAAACACAAACATTGCTCTAGCATCAATATACATAAGCTGAAACATCATAAACACAATTCACCAAACATCAATCTCTAGTGGCAACCACATGGGAGGGAGGATTTTAATGTTACCATACTGGTTAATGACAGGGATAATGGATAAGAGAAAGGTTGTGATGACCCTTTGTGTAGTTCAAACAAAGAGCAGAGGTAATAAATAATTTGCAATTTTACTCTGAAATCATGAATTTCTAGGTCAAACTGGAGGAGTGAAATTCTTAGAGCTTGTGTTTTATTTCTTTATCGTAGAACCCTACCCTATAATATTTATGAAAAAAATGAGGGAACAGAAGGGAATTTATTCCCTCCCCTCCTCCAATCCTCACCAACCAAACATACCCGAGACCTACTACTGTAACCCAAATGTTGGCCCCAACTTTGCCCATCGTTTTACGGGCAAACTTTCATAAGCATTAGGGAAAGGGAGAAATAGCTTTTTAACACACGCAAAGGTGGGACAAAATACCATAGAAGTCCATGTATTATATAAAAACGTGCAAAGTAGTCTTTGTACTCGAAATTGAAGCAATTTAGTCACTACACTATTCCTTTTTGTTCAATTTGGTCTTTCTGTTTATTTTTACTTGTACCTACTGCCCCAAACTATTAAATCGATAACATGTAAATTTAATTTAGTGTAATGAAAAATGTTAATGTGGCATGTTGGTTCATACTTATTTTTTTCTTTTTACCATGAACAATGTGGGTAAGCAAATATCTATATATTTTTCAATAAAATAAATAAATAAATAAATAAAATGCATAGTGCACTTGGCAAAATAATAAAAAAATTAAGTATGAATAAACATGCCACATTAGCATTGCCCATGTCACCTAAATTATAATTACACGTCTTCGCTTTAACACTTCAGAGCAGTAGGTAAGTGCAACAATAAACAAAAGAACCTAAAAGAACATATAAGAACAGTACAAGGATTAAGTTTGTTCAATTTTTGAGAGACTAATTTGCACATCGTTAGATTGTGCAGGAACTCTACAATACTTTGCACTTCTGAGGTAAGCTAATATATCTCTATCAATCATATAGCTTTGAATGAGAATCTAAAAATTCACTCAAGACGCTTCAAATCAAAACCCATAGACAATTTAACAAAACACGAATGATTGACAATGTATATATTTTCTGTCGTATGCGGAAAGAAGATTTCAATCCTCCAACAAAGCAACATTGATGGCCATCAAAAAGTAAACCAGTATAACATAACACACGAAACATACTTGTCATATAAATCCGTATAGATTTAACAATTACCCAAAGATCTGTGGGCGGAAGAATCGTCACACAGGGAGGTCACCGACGGAGGCAATGACCGTGGGTGCAGTGGCATCAGGTTTGGACCTAGGGTTAGAGTTGTCCGGATCGATATGCGAAGGAATAGGAGTATTGAGCATGAGGGGAACATCCTTGGCCTCTTCGCCGTCCTCGTTGTCGCTGTCGGACGTGTTGAGGTTGACACAAGAACAGCGTTCCAACGACGCGAAGAACGCTGATGCCACACTGGACCCCACCCACCGAGCGAGACCGTCCAGCTTCTCGATGTTCGAATTCTCCATATCTGATCAACTGAGGACTTACGGTATTCCAAGAAGTGATCGAATGTATAGAGAGGAGCAACGATATTCCACGAAGTGATAGAATTTGTAGAAGCAGATCCCCTTTGGAGCGAGGAAAGAACGAGATCCGAAGAGAAATGGCGAAGAGGTCAGAGAACGAACTTTTTTTAAGAGTATTTTTTGAAGGAAAAACCAATCAATAGGGAGTATATCACTAACACCAATGTATTTCCCATAGTTTTCAGAACCGGTCAAGGGTACTGGTTCATTGGTGCACTGGTCGAATCAGTGGTTTAACTGGTCGAACCGGTGGTTTAAACATATTTAAAATATACATACATATATTTTTTTTTATAAAAGAGATTTTATTGACGAAATGAAAAATACAAGATGTGGGAGTGGCCCGTCCCCAACAGTCTGGCCAAAGCATCAGAAAAGTGCTAAAAACTAGTCAAACCAGAACAAAAGAAAAGAGTACAAAGTGGAAACATGTTGCTGGCAGCAAAGAACCCAGAGTTTGTTGTCTTGCTATTGGAATCCCTGCAACCTTATCTTCCTATTGAGATTTATGCCCTGATAAATTCAAAATACATCCTTGTTTCTAGCCTCAAAGTGATCTAATCAAGCACAGCTTGTCCTTGAATGCAGCAACCCAAAATAGCTTGATTAGTGCTTAAAAGTGAACTACTGCAAATTGCTAGCTAGGACCCAAGAGATACATGGCTCCTTCATCGTCCTGAAGATCCCAGTCTCTAAGCTAAAGAAGATCCACTAATCGTGAGTGCACACTAAACAATAGCTTAAAGCTTTCAATCACCAATCAACCACCTGCTGATGAAGCTCGAAACCCAAATACAACAAGAAAAATAATGAATCAAACAGAAACTATTGCCCAGGTTCTCAAGACCCTTGGGTCAATTCCCTTTGAAGGACCAAAACATCATAACCGAAGGACCATGAGACTGAAAATGACCCGTTCCCAGAGTGAAATCCTAATCAATCCTGTTCTCCGCATAAATGTGCTAGAACGACATTCATATCCTCTTTCGCATAAGCTAGGTACACCGGATATCTTGCACCTTCCATTGTTGCTGCAT